TTCACCATCTTTGTGGCCCTCCACTGGACTCTTTCCAAGAGGTCCCTGTCTTTTTTGTACTGGACACAGTACTCCAGATGAGGCCTTACCAGGGCAGAGTAGAGGAGAGGATCACCTCCCTCTACCTGCTGGCCACGCTCTTTTTAATGCACCCCAGAATGCCATTGGCCTTTTTGGCCACAAGGGCACACTGCTGGCTCATGGCCAACCTGTCGTCCACCAGGACACCCAGGTCCCTCTCTGCAGAGCTCCTCTCCAGCAGGTCAGCCCCCAACCTGTACTGGTGCATGCAATTATTCCTCCCTAGGTGCAAGACTCTACACTTGCCTTTGTTAAACCTCATCTGGTTTCTCACTGCCCAGCTCTCCAGCCTGTCCAGGTCTCGCTGAATGGCAGCACAGCCTTCAGATGTCAGCCAATCCTCCCAGCTTCATATCATCAGCAAACTTGCTAAGGGTAGCCACCATCCCCTCATCAAGGTCATTGATGAAGACGTTGAACAAGACCCCTGAGGAACACCGCTAGTTGCAGGTCTCCAACTGGACTCTGCACTGCCAATGATGACCCCCTGTGCTCTGCCAGTCAGAGCTCAGGGTTCTCAACCCACCTCGCTGTCTACTCATCTATCCCACACTTTCTCAGCTTTGTTATAAGGATGTCGTGGGAGACAGTATCAAATGCCTTGCTGAAATCAAGGTAGACTACATCCACTGCTCCCCCCCATTCACCCAGCCAGTGACAACATCGTAGAAGGCTACCAGGTTGGTCAAGCATGACCTCCCCCTGGTGAACCCATGCTGACTATTCCTGATAACCTCCTTTTCTTCCAGTTGTCTGGAGATGGCATCCAGCACAAGCTGCTCCATCACCTTTCCAGGGTCAGAGGTGAGGCTGACTGGCCTGTAATTACCTGGATCTTCCTTCTTGCCCTGTTTGAAGACCGGAGTGACACTGGCTATCCTCCAGTCTTCAGGCACCTCCCCCATTCTCCAAGACCTCTCAAAGATGACAAAGAGAGGTTCAGCAATCACCTCTGCCAGCTCCCTCAGCACCCGTGGATGCATCTCATCAGGTCCCATGGATTTATGAACATTGGTGTTGCATAGGTGCTCTCGGACTGCCTCTTCCCTGACTAAAGGGAAGTCTTGCATTCCCCAGATCCTCTCACTAACCTCCAGGGTCCGGGAGAGCTTTTTCACTGAAGACAGAAGCAAAGAAGGCGTTCAGTATCTCCGCCTTTTCAGCATCCCCCATTACCAGTACACCCCCTTCACTTAGTAGGGGAGCCACATTCTCCCTAGTCTTCCTTTTACTGTTAACATACTTAAAAAGTTTTTATTATCCTTTATCACCTTTGCCAGATTCAATTCCAGGCGGGCTTTAGCCTTCCTCATAGCATCCCTGCAGGCCCTGACAACATTTCTATATTCTTCTCAAATGGTCAGACCCATTTTCCACATTTCATGGAGCTTTTTCTTCCCTTTGAGTTTGTACATGAGCTTCTTGCTCATCCACACAGGTCTCCTGCCACCCTTTCCTGATTTCTTGCTCACAGGGAGCTTGGAAGAAGAGCTGTTTAAATGCCGACCAGCTCTCACAGGCCCCCTTACCTTCTAACACCCTAGCCCACGGGATAGCTCCAAGTAGGTCCCGGAAAAAGATCAGGGTTGGCTCTCCTGAAGTCCAGGGTAGCAATCCTACTTTCTGCTTTGCTTCTTCCACTCAAGATCTTGAACTCCACCATGTGGTGGCTACAACCCAAGCTGCCCCGACCTTTACTTCCTCGACAAGCCCTTCCTTATTAGTGGAATAAGGTCCAGCAACACGCCCCCCCCTCATTGGTTCCTCCACCACCTGCATCAGAAAATTGTCTTCAACACATTGCAGGAACCATCTGGACTGCGTGTGCCTGGCCATGTTGCTTATCCAGCAAATATCTGGATAAATGAAGTTCCGCATAAGCAGCAGCACCTGGGATCTACTTCCAGTTGCTTATGGAAAGCCTCATCAACCTCCTCCTCCTGATCAGGGGGCCTGTAGTACATACCCACAACAGTGTCACCCATACTAGCCTGCCCCTTGATTCTTACCCACAAGCTCTGCACTGCTACACCAGTCTTCCCCAGGTGGAGTTCAATACATTCTAGCTGCTCTCTCACATAAAGAGCAACTCCACCACCCCGCCTTGCCAGCCGATCTTTCCTAAAAAGCACATAGCCCTCCATGACAACATTCCAGTCATGCGAGCTGCCCCACCACGTCTCTGTGATTGCAATGAGATCATGGCCTTGCGACCGCACGCAGATCTCCAACTCTTCCTGTTTATTTCCTATACTGTGCACGTTAGTGTACAGACACTTTAGGGAAGCAGCATCCCCCTGCCCCTCTCCATCCCTTTGAACTCCACCCTCATCATCCATCAAGCTCTGTTTTGAGCCTCGAACTACCTGCTCAACCCCAGTGGCCCTCATTTTGTCCCCTTTCTTACCTAGTTTAAACCCCTCTCAATGAGTCCCACCAGTTCCTGGGCTAAGATCCTTTTACCTCTCCCAGACAGGTGAGTTCCATCTGCAGCTGTCATGCCAGGTGCTGTGTAAATTGCCCCATGGTCAAAAAAGCCAAAAGTCTTGTGTTTGCAGCAAACTCTGGGCCATTTATTTATGAGGAGGGTTTTTTTGATCCTCTCAGTATCCTTCCCTGCCACTGAAGGAATAGAAGAGAAAACCACCTGCAATAAGAAGAGAATCATAGAATTGCTCAGGTTGGAAAAGACCTTCAAGATCATCAAGTCCAACCACAACCTAGCCATATTACCATAACTCTAATAACTCTCTGTTAAACTCTAACAACTCTCTGCTAAATCATGTCCCTGAGCACCACATTCAAACGGTTTTTAAGCACATTCAGGGATGGTGACTCAACCATCTCCCTGGGAAGCCTATTCCAGTGCTTAACAACAATTTCTGTAAAGAAGTTTTTCCTGATATCCAAGCTAAACTTACCCTGGCACATTCCCATGACATTGTTCTTGTTCCTCCATGTTTTAACGGAGTGATGTTTAACATACAACATCATGACTTTAAAGATGTCTCAGTCACAGTGTAGTCACAGTATAAGCACACTTTGATGTTCAATGGCACAATCATAAACTTTCCCAATTCCTCTGCTGGGCAAA